CCCCATGCGCCGCGCGCCCAGAGCGTGGGCAGCCAATTCGCAGCGCTCCCGGGTCCAGCGCTCACCGTGCGCCATACGCCCGGGGCCAGCTCCGGCACTGGCACCATGCATGCGCCCCGTGTCCGGGGCCAGGCCAGCCCAGCCCCAAGCACTTGGCGGGTGCAGACAAATGTCCCCACGGGCGCCATGACGCCTGCGGGCACCATGTTGGGGACCACTGATATACACAAACAGGCACGCATGCAAAAGAAAAGTTACTCACTTCGTGCAGTAACGATTGTTCGAGATGTGTCTCCGTGGGTGCTCCACAGTTGGTGTCAGGCTCATCCTGGCACCACAGATGGGAGATTTTGAGAGTAGGGATTGGGAAGGCTGCGCACGCACAAACGGAGAGCTGCGCTCCTGCCTTTGAAGTAGCATGTGCCGCCCACTTCTCCTCTGTTTCTTCTTTGATGCCCTCATGGACTGCTATAATTGCCCAAAGAAGTGGGGAGGAGGGTGGGTAGTGGAGCACCCATGGCAACACACATCTCGAAGAACAATTGTTACTGCAAAGAGTAACTTCTCTTTCTTCTTCAAGTGATGTCTCCATGAGTGCTCCACAGTTGGTGACTGCACAGCAGTGCCCATTCAGATGGACAGCGGGCATCGATCAATTGCTACAGATTGTGGAGAGAACTGCATTGGCTACTGCCGTATCTGTTGTGGAGCATGGTGAAATACCGTAGTGCTTTATGAAGGTGTGATTAGACGACCATGTCGCTGCTCTGCTATTTCCTGGAGTGAGACTCCCTTTAGGAAAGCAGCCAGTGTCGCCATAGCTGTGGTAGAGTGGGACTTTAGATTAGTTGATAATACCCTTTTATGGAGCAAGTAGCACGTAGTAATGCATGATGTTATGAGTTTTGATATGCGCTGGAAGACAGTGGTTTCCCCTTGGACCTTTTGACCAGGGAAATCATCAATCTCTGGGATGATCGAAAGGATTGAGTCCTATGGCAATAGAAGGCAATTGCCCTTCTGACGTCCAGGGTGCATCATGTGGCTTCTACCCTGGAATGATGTGGTTTTGGATAGAAAGCGGAAGAACTATCAGTTCATTGATATGGAATTCTGAGCTGACTTTGGGTAAGGACGACAGGTGTGGCCGCAGAATAACCTTGTGCTTGTGAAAGGTCGTGTATGAAGGCAAAGCCGTGAGAACTGTGAGTTCGCCGACCCGCCTTACAGAAGCGATCGCCAGAAGGAACAAGTAGTAAGGTAAGAAAGGGAAGCGGTGCATTTGCCATTGGTTTGAAGCGTGGTCTTGTGAGTGATTATAGGACCAATTCTAAGTCCCACAAGGGCAAATTGGTTTTCAAGGTGGGTGAAGGTTCTGTAGGCCCTTCCAGAATCTTTTTGAGATGGGGTATGAAAATATGGAGAACCCATCAATGGGAGGGTGGAAGGCTGTAATGGCGGCCATGTGCATCCGAGTGGTAAAACTGACAAATTTTGTTGTTCCAGGTGCGTGATGTACTCCAGTACTTGGTGGAGCGGCGCCCTGGATGGTTCGAGTGCCCTGTGTGCACACCACTGCGTATACCAGTGCCACCTGTATAGGTAAGTCTTGTGTGGTGTTTGTCATGTTATGCAGCAGAACATTTTTCACTTGTTAGGAGCACTGATGCTCCACTTTCAAGAACCAGACAGGTACCCCATGCCATCAGGTGCAGCGTTTGTGGTTGGGGGCAAAGTACTGACCCCCAGTTCCAGGCGGTTCGGAAGCAGGTAGGGAGGTCATAGAGACAGGCGATAAAGACGTGAACCATATCTGTCAGGGCCAGGATGGGGCTATCAAGATCACTCTGCCCTTATCCATCTGTATCTTCCAGAGGACTCTGGGAATGAGAGGAATGGGTGGGAAGGTGTATGGGTATAATAGGTGGCCCCGCAAGTGAGAAGCATGGCATCGCCCAGGGAGCCACGCTCTATGCCTGCTCATGAGCAGTACTGGGGGCTTTTGGAGTTCTTCCTGGTGGCAAAGAGATCTATCTGTGGTTGCCCCCATCAGCGGAACAACTTGTGGGTGATCTGATCGTGTAGTTCCCGCTCACGTGCTGTGAGGAAGTTGCAGCTGAAGGAATCTGCCATAACTTTCTTGTCTCCAGGTAGGTATTCTGCCGAAATGGTAATATTGCAGCAGATGCACCAATTCCAAAGCCTGATCACCTCTGTGCATAGCAACTGAAATCTCACACCCCCTTGGTGGTTGATGTAAAACATAGTTGTCATATTGTCGGTGAGGACCCACAGCCCTCTTCTCCTCAGTTCCTTCTTCGCCGCCCTCGGTCACAGAAGGAGCTCAGTTCTCTCCTCCTCAGAGCCCGACACACCAACTGTGGAGGACCGGTGGGGACATCACTCGAAGAAGAGCTCTGAACGGCATGCGCATCTGAACATATTGACAACTCTGACGATAGCGGTTTAAACATCTGACACGCACAAATGGGAACAAAAATCTATTCCAGAATACAATTCAGAACACAAGAAAAATATCTGAAAGTTTTAAAAAACAAGAACAGGAGAAAAGAATGAAGTTGGGTGTCCATGCTGCAAACAATGTAACTCAATTATTAAATATATATATTTATAGGCTGACACCTCTAAGTCTACAACAGTAAACCATTTATTCAAATGAAAAGTTATTTGGGGATTAGAGATCTAGTATTTTCTTAAACTCAGAGGTGGCATTTATTACCCATCCTTCTGTCCATCAAAAAAACCCTGATATTTACCCAGCAACATTAATTTTTTCCACTGATTCTCTCAGGGTTCTTTTTTTAAAAAAAATAATAAACACCATAAGTTCCTGGGAAAAACTAAATAAAATAAAAACAAAACTAAGGGCCCTACCTACAGAATATCCTTCAATTACCTGGCCAGTCTATTCATAAATGTGAAATGGACTACCACCATTTCATTCACGGATGTGACTTTTGAAATGGTTTGGGATATCAAACTTGATTTAATTGCATTCCATTACTTTTTTATTCCTCCCTGATGCCACCTTTAACTCCAACTCTCCGTACCTGGTATTTACAACATTTAAATACCTGAAGAACATCACTGTACTCCCCTCTGGTCATCAGTTGGGTAAGTGAAAACTATTTACTCCTTTAAATTTTTCCTCAAAATGTAAATTCTTCCAAACAGGCATATCAACTATGTAATACATACATAGGAAGAGCAACTCTGTTAAGAAGTATCAGAGGGGTAGCCATGTTAGGCTGTATCTGAAAAACAACCAGGAATCCTGTGGCATCTTAAAGACCAACACATTTATTCGCACATAAGCTTTTGTGGGTAAAGACACACTTCGTCCAGTGCATTCTGTACTGCCACACTAGAGCTTGGGAACTGCTACCCTTCTACATATGGTGCTGCTTGTTACTGTTGTTCAATTTACCGTATTAGAGCTGAGGGCCATTTCACCGAGTTGCTGAATGCATTTATCCACTACTAGAGATTAACTGTGCTAAGAATGATACAGAGGGAAAAAAACGTACCTTAAGCAAACAACGTTAAATATAAGAGCAATTTAAAAAGGAAAAGTACAGATTACAGCTGGCACTGCACCTCTGTTAGAACACTGCAAATCCTAGACAGATCCCCTTTATAAAGTTCAAATGCATATTTCCTGATGAAGGTAAAAAACCCTCCTAAAATTTACAAATTACTGGCAAGTTTACATCTCTGCTAGAGACCTCCAAATAGCAGGGTGATTCTGACCTACAAAAATGGAGTGTAGTTACACAACAGGAATACGCTTTTCACTGACCGGAAAACTACAGCATCATTACAGCATAGCACAATCTGAACAATGGATATATTACATTTCAAGAATAGCAAATAAAATACTGTTGCCAAAAAATGACAATTGGCAGATGTGTTACAATCCCAAAGGACAGTGTGACGGCACTTCCTTTCTATAGTATCAGTCTAATGTTTGCCAATACTAATATTAGAGACCTCACTCTCACAGTCATTCTGCAGCAACACAGTTGTGAACAAACATTTGTAATGTATTTAACTTTATTGTAATGTATTTAACTTTATTTCAAAGTAAACCCACACACTTGACAGATAGAATTAAGTTCCTGGTATGACCCATTATTGCTCCGAAGTTTTTAAAATCAAGTGGGTGTAGGATACACATTCAACAGCTCATATGGAGAAGTTTCATTTTAAATTAAAAATGAACAGTTAAACCCAAACTGGTGCAGGCAACCTGATTAGACCACGCCCTATTTTACTAAATTAATTAAAATGATCATCAAATGCACAGCACACAATCTTGTTTCACCTTAATAAGACAATTACTTCCATGAGGCCAGGGATGAGGAGGACCGATTTTACAGGCCCCAGGGGGACCCTCACCAGGCCACTGGAAGGGATGGGGCCTCAGGCAGAAGAGAAAGGTCTGGGGCTAGCCTCCCCCAGCCAGCCTATCAGTCTCTCTGGCTGTGCATCGTCCAGGGCTCCAGTGATGATGTAAAGGACCCAGGAACCTTGCAAACTGCCATGCCCTAGAGCAGCTGTTCCCATTACCCCCACATACTTCCATCCATCCACCACCACCATCCATCAGCAGGCTGGCCTTAAGGAAATGCTTTGTCTGTCCTTGGTGCAATGGCTTAAATCAGGTTTTGCTCTGGGTAGGAGAGATGAATATAAAAACTCCCTTCTCTATAGTGCAGAGCGCTTCTAGATCCAAGCATTGAGTGTTCTGCCCCAACAATAATGGACATATAAAGAGTCTTTATATTGTGTGCCCCGTATAGTAAATGCAACCTAGCCTGCTAATCCTTCCTTTATAAATCTGTTTTGATAAAGCCTCCAGTGGTGTTTATTCTCTCTTTCACTCATATATATCTATGTCCCCCACTACCATGCTAACAGGCATCGCACAATATTTAGTGTATTTATCCTCACATCACTCCAGGAGGTGCTACAATCCTCACTTTGCAGATGAGGAGCCAAAGCATAGAAAGAGTTATATCTAGTTTGCACCTCCAAAATACATGGGGGCAGCTGCACTGATGTAGCTGTACCACTATAGTGTGTCTTCACCAGACACACTACGCTGACATGAAAGCATTCTCCAATTGGCGTAATTCCACCTCAGGCCAAAGCTATGTTGGCAGGACAGCTGATGTAAAGTAGTTTTCACAATGCACTAAGTCAACGTAACTTAAGTCTCCCGGGCGGTGGGAAGGCTGTGCCTTTTTCACATCCCTGAGTGACTTACATCAACTTAAGCAGCAATATAGACAAGCCATTAGTGACTGTCCTTGGACACAGTGGGAAGTATGACAAAGTGAATTAAACTCAGGTGTCCCAAAGACCAGGCTAGTGTTCTAAACACTGGATCAAGCTCTCGCTCGCTCACCTTTTAAAATGTGTATAAATATCCCCCAAAAATTAGAATAATTTTAGAAGACTAGTTTATATTTTTCAGTGTATAAATCAGCAGCACCTACACAGAATAGAAGAAACTTTATATAATAAATAGGCAACATTGCCCACATTTAAAGAAAGTTATGTAGAGGAAGTCAGACATTCAAAAACTAGATTTGCTATCTCAGAGGGCAATTTGCTCCAGTTCTTACAGCTCAGTAAGACAGATAGTAACTCTAAATGATTATGTGGACAAGAAACAATACTAGTTCTTAGGTTAACGGAATTAAATAGAGTGTGTTAGGATTTTGTAGTTTTAAGTCCTTGAAAAAACTGTTTGAAAGCAATGTAAGCAGTTTCAAATTCTACATTTTATCTTTGAGAAGATTAGTATCTAGCATACAAAAAAATTCATTCTAAACCATCCGTGGCCAGCACTCTTGCAGTGCTAATATAATAAATATATACAGCAGAAGCCATTAAAAAGTAAAACAATTGCGACTCATTACCATAAATAATACAGATAGATCCAAGTCCAAGTGGTTCTCCACCAAAGGTACACAGAGGTCTTTGAGTACATCAACTCATTTACATGTTTTCCTGCTATACAAAAAGCACTAGCTAAGTCAGTATAAACTAAAATTTCATGCAAGACTGCTCTACATACAATACATTGAAACAAGTACAATATTTATATTCTGTGTGATCTCTATTATATTTACATGGTAATGAGAAAGCAAGCAATTTTTCACGAATAGTGTGCGGTGATACTTATGTATTTTAATGTCTGGTTTTGAAAGCAAATAATTTTTAAGTGAGTTGAACTTGGGGTATACAAGATCTCCATCTCTGGAGATATTTAAGAACAGGTTAAAGAGACATCCATCAGGGATGGTTTAGACCAGGCATGTCCAAAGTCCGGCCCGCGGGCCAAATGCGGCCCTTGTTCCGGTTTAATACGGCCCCCGCTTCCTCCCCCTCTCCTGGCTCCCCGGCGCTCTTTTGAAGTGGCGCGCCCAGCGCGCCGCTTCCGGCCGCGCCGCCGCAGCCGCCGCCCATGGCCTCCGCGGTCCTAGAGCCTGCCCTGTAGGGCATGTCCGCAGCCCCGCTCTCCCGCGGGTTCGCCCTGCCCCCAGGCCGCCGTGAGGACGGCGTGCCCTGTGCTCTCCGCCTGCCTCCGACCCCGCGGGCCCTCCGCCTTGGGGCTGAGAGTGCAGGGACGGCCCTCACGCATGTTCACTTCTTCAAATCTGGCCCTCTTTGAAAAAAGTTTGGACACCCCTGGTTTAGACGGTACCTGGACCTGCCATGAGGGCAGGGGACTGGACTCAATCTCTCGAGGTCCCTTCCAATTCTAGTGGTCTATGATTCTAAGAGAAAAATCAAACTCCTGAAAGGGGTACAGTAGTCTGGAAAGGCTGAGAGATGCTTTCCTGTTCTTTATAAATATAAACTCTGCTAACCTCAGATACTGTTTCATAACTGATGACACCTTGTTAGGTCCTGGATTTAGGTTTCACAACTGTAATTTTGATACAGTATATTAAAGTCATCAAATGTGCTGTTTAATAAATAGCACTTCCTAGTGAGAATTTAGAATACTTATTAAGATCCTTTATAAATAATGTATTATACAGTGACCTTGCTATCAGTTGTTTTCTTTTCAGGACATATTTGCATGAGTAACTGCCAAAAGCACCAATTTCTCATTCTGTGCAGCTACAAAACACAGTTCTTTCAAAACTCACGTTGTCACTGCGCACATCTTCAGTGCTATCAACATCAGCTCCCTATAGAAGCTGTCTGGCAGAACAGTGGCTTACCCTATCAAGCCTTTGACTTACAATGTTGAACATAGTAATCAGATACATGCACTGTCATTCTATTTGATCTCCGTGTAACTTGTGTGGGAGAAAATAAAAGCATAGCTCCTTTTTTTCCTGACAAGCCTCAGACAACGTATATATCAATGCAAGAAGCTTAATGGCAAATAGAGGTGAACTAAAATATGTAACAAGGAAAGAGGACCTTATATAACAGACATTAATGGAAAAAGAGAACCCAACTACAAAGTTAAAAGTGAAAGTTCTTCACGTCACTTTGTTAGCCCTGTATCTTCCTACTGGGAGAAGCATGGAAGAAGAAATAAGGGCAGGCCTTCAGTCAGCCTTTCCACAATGGAACTATGATGGTTGCTCATGTTTT